ATAATAATAATAATAATAATAATAATAATAATAATAATAATAATAATAATAATAATAATAATAATAATAATAATAAAGTTGGAAGGAACCTTGGAGGTCATCTAGTCCAACCCCCTGCTCAGGCAGGAAACCCTATACCATTTCAGACAAATGGCTGTCCAGTCTCTTCTTAAAAACTTCCAGTGTTGGAGCATTTACCACTTCTGGAGGCAGGTTGTTCCACTGGTTAATTGTTCTAACTGTCAGGAAGTTTCTCCTTAGTTCTAGGTTGCTTCTCTCCTTGATTAGTTTCCATCCATTGCTTCTTGTCCTGCCCTCAGGTGCCTTGGAAAATAGCTTGACTCCCTCTTCTTTGTGGCAGCCCCTGAGATATTGGAATACTGCTATCATGTCCCCCCTCGTCCTTCTCTTCATTAAACTAGACGTACCCAATTCCAGCAGCCTTTCCTTATATGCTTTAGCCTCCAGTCCCCTAATCATCTTTGTTGCTCTTCTCTGTACTCTTTCTAGAGTCTCAACATCTTTTTTACACTAGAACAGATTTAAAAACTGAATAACAATACCTTTAAGATTATAAACATAACTGGAATTACAAAATCAGCTATGAATTTAATGCTATATAAATCTATGCAATTGGTATACTGTTCTACCTATTTGTTATACCAAAAACTATATATAATGCTAAAAAATGACTAACCGACTAGAAGTATGAATGGCTAATACAAAATATAAAATCGGTAAATCGCTTAATTCTATAGATATTTCCAAACTGAATATTAATAATGTAACAATAATGGCACAAAAATTTAGGAAGTGGATGCAGAGATTAAAACATAAAGTAATCAGAAAAAAAACTCAAGTAAGTATATGGGTGTTGCCTTAATTGTTCTAATTAATAGCTTCAGTGTTTAAGTATGTGATTTATGGCAAATAAGCTAATAAACTGTATAGAATAAAATACAATCAGCATCTACCTACATAGCCAGCAAAGTAGTTCGTGGAAATCACAAGATGATCTTTTTGTTTCACATCATCATTTTGCTACTTGAAGAAATTTTGTCTCTAAATTCAAAGGTTTGCTTAAGTGTCAAAATTCATAGTTCTTGTAAGGCATATTCTCCAGAAATTGTCTCACATTATTTCTAAGCCAGTTTTTAAAAAAATAAAACAAAAACAAAACAGAGCCATAAGCAGCTGAGCACTGACTTCTAGAACACTATAGTGTTCTAGTAAAATGGATTTAAATTACAGTAGCGTTGGTTGAATCAGGTGGAGAATTTTCAGCCTGTTGATTTGAAGATATTTAAAAAGTGCATCAAGATTAGAGACCAAAATATAAAACATTAATGTTTATGTTGATTAAACATTACTGTGTTAAAAAGAACAATAAGTCTAAAATAAAATTAAAATTAATTTAAGTAGTACTATATTGAATTTGGTAAGCAGTGATTATGGGTTTTGTATCTCATTCTGATGTTTAGCCAAAGTGGTTTATAATACTACAGTGACAGTAAAAATAACAGTTAAATCACAATTAAAACAACTTAAGTTAGCATGAAGTAAATAGTTTACATGAAAAATGCTTATTGCTAATCTTCTTATCTATTATTAGTTGATTTACTGAATTATCCTGAACTTCAGCACTGCGTGAACTATTTTTTATTCTTTCTGCAAATATTTGACCCTATCAATTAAGCTTCAAATTAGCATAGTCATATGTTTGTCTGCCTTTCCTTGGTTTGAGTCTCCTGTGAATTGCAGAAAACCTGTCTTGGTTCAGTAGATGAGGATAGCAAATGTACACATACAATACTAAATGCACTCTCCAACTTGGTCAGTAAAAGAAGGCTTTGTTTGAAAGCTCCAGTTCAGTTTCTATTGCTTAAAAACAATAGAGTTTCTAATTAAGGGATAATTGGTTTTTCATATCTGGACAGGCTTTCAGGAAGTTATGTAGACCAGGATGGGTATATTTCTGCAGTAGTGGTATTGCTTCAAGCTTGTAAAGTCTTTTATCATCTTACTAGACTCTCAAGTTCCACCAACTAGGATCAGTTACACTTAGAATGAAAAACCTAGGAGCCTAACAATTTGTTTTGAATACAGTATTTCATTGTATTTCATGCATATAAAAATCCATTCCTGGTTCCCTAGACCAGGGCTTTTCAACCTTTTCACAGATTGTACCATTTTTAGGACATGACAATATTCGAGTATCACCAGTGCTTAGCACGGTGTCAAAAGCTTGATGACTTAAAAAGGGGGGGGGGATTTTGGGTTTTACTGGTTAGATTCATTTGTTGTTATACAAATGGCTAGTGTCATGGTTCCGATAGGATAGATGAAACCAGTAAAAGAACTTCAAGGCAAGAATTCTTCCTTAAAGAACATTTTATTTAGGAAACAAAGTATCGGCACTTACATAGTTGAACCCAAGAATGAGATTCCCTCCTCCCAGATACAAAGTAACAAATTGCAATTCCCACCCCACAAGAGCTGTCATAAATCACATTCCCCAATTAGCACAAAACCGAGGGCCCCTCAGCCCACCAAAACCTTATCAGAACACATCCTTGAGTTTCCACACTTCTACATTGTTATGGCTAGCTAAACCCTCAGGCATTTACCCCACCCCCCTTCTACATCTGAACTCTAAAAGAATAGAAGGGCACATTAAAAGCAAGAGAAAAAATGGCTGCTGGTTCTCAGTTGTCAGAGCGACAACATCCATCGTCACAGCGTTGACAGTTAGTTTATAATATTATGGAAAAGTAAAAAGTTGAGGTTCAATGTTAATGCTTCCTTGTACTGCAACAGAGAGTCGGAAATCAAAGCCTTTTCTTTTTTCCTTCTCCCCCTCACTTTTTCCCCCTTTTTCCTCCCCACTGTGTCCTACTATTTGCTTTTGTATTTTATTTTTTGTATTTTATTCTATAATCTAATAAAATAAAACTAAAAAAAGGAAAAAAGTACCGGTTTTAATTTCTTCTGTGGCAGTTCCTTTGCTGAATCACTGTCCCTTTACACTGACAAATGTATGATGAATTTATCTATATTTATTAATATGCACCACTACCTTGATGGTCAGGTGGCTGGTCGGCTCTTCTTCTTCTCTCCCTCTCCTCTCTTTCTCCTCACCCTCTTAAAAGCCCCCCCTCTCTCTCTCACACACACACACACACATACCTCAAAAGCCTTTTCTCTCTGCCTCTCTCTCACATACACACACAGTTCCCCCCAAAAGCCTTTCCTCTCTGCCTCTCTCTCCCTCACACACACACACACACACACACACACACACACACACACAAATTCCCCCCAAAAGCCTTTCCTCTCTGCCTCTCTCTCTCTCTCTCTCTCACACACACACACACACACATACACACATACACCTCCCCAAAAGTCTTTCCTGTCTCTCTCTCTCTCATCGCTTCTCTGACAAAAGCCCTCTCTCTTCTGACTCTTTCTCCGGCGTCTTTTTTTCCTCCCTCTCCTGCCAAAACTGTCTCCTTTTATATTCCTTTCTGTCTCCGCCCTCCTCCTCCTCCTCCTTTCTCTTCCTGGTGTGTCGGAAGTGCCGATCCTGGGACCTTTGTCTTGCCCCAGCAGTAGCCCTGCAGCTCCTGAAGACTCTCTCTCAGGGCAAGTCCTGCACCACGCCACTTTGGCTCGTTCCCTCCCCCACTACATTTGGCTAGGCTAGGCAGGGCTGCGTACCACCTGCCATGTGCCAATGTACCACCAGTGGTACGCGCAGAGGCGTAGCGTGGGGGGTGCAGGGGGGGCCGGCCGCACCGGGCGCAACATCTGGGGGGGTGCGCTCGCACTCGCAGCTCTCTGCCCCTGCCTGTGCGAATCCGATCCGAGCCGCCGGGTCGCCGCCCACTGTGGAGGGGGGGCGCAAATTACTTGCCTTGCCCCGGGTGCTGACAACCCACGCTACGCCACTGGGTACGCGTACAACCGGTTGAAAAGCCCTGCCCTAGATTTCCTTTTGTTCTGCTGCATAGTTTGAGATGGCAAAGGAGCTATTTTATCATTTCTATTATTAAACAGTTGGGAGTCTGAAATCCTTCACCATTGTACTAAAAATAGCCCAATATTCTAACAGTAGATCCCAATCTACTTTCTGGAACACTAACAGATTTATTAACACTAGCAGATTAATTGACACTAATATTTAATCATTTATCCCAAAATTATTTAAGAACCTTTACAAAATAGATAAAATGATTAATTTGATAAATAAAATAAATGCCCAAAGAACTCTGGCCTGAAAACATGATATCATTACACACACACACATACACACACTAAAAAGTAAAAGAAGAAGAAATGGCTATTTTCCAATTCACTGAAATAGCTGAAGAAAGGCAAACCCGACGTGGATCTCGACCATCCCCTTGGTTTACCGAGGGGCTGAGAGAGATGAAACGTCGGAAAAGACGCCTAGAGAGCAGTTGGAGGGACAGCCGAACCGAATCCGCTCGAACACAGGTAAAGATACATCTTAGATCTTACCTAGTGGCGCTGAGGGAGGCTAGGACTAACTACTATGCCTCACTCATCGCGTCAT